CATTGTTATAACTTCCTCTTGAATTGAGTGAAAATTTGACCTTGCAGGTATATAGGAAACAAAACATGTAATCTTTTTATTGAGAAATAAAAATATATTTTGTGGTGTTTTGCAATACATGATTACGAGCTTCTGAAAGAGAGGAAAATACACTTTTTTTCTTTATTTTAGATCCAGAATGTGAACCAGCACAAAACACAAAACAGACAAAGCCTTATTCAGGGTAAGAGCATTCTGTCGGAGTTTTGATTATCAAAAAGAGTCATGTTGGTCCTTTCAATACAATGGAATACACGTTGTTTCATAGTTGTGTTTATGAATATCAACAAGAGTTTCTGAGTTTCTGGTACCTCTGAAAGCTGAGCCCTGTCTTATTATTTCTCCTGTATTTGTTTTGCTGGTGTTGCCGTGTCTTAATAATTTTGTGAAATAGTTGGAGGCTTCCACTTTCACAACCATTTAACTGAATAAATGGTTTATTTATAAGAAAAGTTATGGAAGACATTGACCGGCCCTCCCTGGCCGCCCATGTAGTGTAGCTGCATTCATTTCTTTTGTAGTGTGCAGCTGTGTCCATTTTGTGCGCCATAGGGTTGTCTGGACTAGGAAGTTTTTGTGTCAGTTTAACTAAGGACATCTCCACCAGGCCAGCCAGCATGTTGTCCAGTTAGTGCCAGCTTCCTGACATGAATATTTGTGTTCTTTCTGGAAGTGATTTTTTAAAAGTAGTTGGCTGAATTTTCGGCATAGGAGGGAGGTGGTGGTGGTGGTGGTGGTGTCACAAGTAACGTAGACTATATTCCAAGTAACACTTGAAGTGAAAGTAAAGTTTTATTTGCTGAACTTCAGTAGCATATATAGAAACTAAAAGGTCTAGATGAGAGAGAACTTGGCCAAACTAAATGGATTCCTTTCTAAATGATTTGGTATCTAAGTGCCACTGATGCCTATGTACTAAGATTACTTTCTGTATGTCTTAACCGCAGCAGAACCATTCCATTTATCAATTCAGGAATCAGGACCAATGTTACACAAGGTATGTACATGTGCATACGTATATGTATAAATCTCCCTATGTATTTACATTAGTTTCTTTGAGTTTGAAGTTTCCTCTAATTGCATGCCAACAGAACGCGTACGTCTGTATCTTCCTGTGCCATAAGCAGGTTCTATGAATTGCTCTTAGAGAATATCTTCTGATATGAAATATTAGCTCCTAATATGCAATCAACAGTGTGCAAAATACATGTATATATGATGTGCATGCAGAATATGTAAATTCATGAGTAGGATCTAAGTCAAAACCTGTTGAAAGTCAGGCCTCTTGCATCTGTGTTAGAAACGGCAAGGCCTCTTTGTGTGCAAAAAAAAAAATGGTTGTTTTTGCCTGGCCTTCCAAACAGGGAAGGGGCATGCTTTGCCTATTAACAGTAGGTGGACTTACTGCAGCTTTCACTAGCACTGCTAGGGGCCAAGAGCAGGGAGTTACCAAACTCAAAGCAAATGGATTTGTTATCTTTTTAAAGGGGCAAGGGGTTGTAATAGACTGAGTCATTACAGGTTATTTAGGAATGAGGAGGCTTTACATTGGCCAGCTAACTAAGGAAATAATGATGAGCAATGCCTGCTGAAGAACACACAGGTTTTCTACATTTATTGTGTTGGCAGTATGAAAGCTTATAGCTCCCAATATCTCAGCAGTAGTTACACTTAAGGAAATGAATTTCGAGGTACTGTAGAAGGACCATTTTTTTCATGGGGGGTGCGTCTTTAAAAAGCTCCCCCCAGCTGCTTTTTATGGTCTGCCCAGAATTAAGGGTCAGTGTCAAACATGTCTAACATTTCTGTCTTTCCTGGTTCAGTCTCAGCATTTGATTAAAATAGTGAGACTGCATGATATGAGGGTACAAAACTTAAGCCTGTAATAGAATTAGGAGAAAAATCATGAATCCATCGATGTTTTCTGAATTTTTTGTTGCATAGATAAGATGCATTATAGCCTAGTACTTAGATTTCTGTTAACTTCTCTGGAAAAAAAAACAGCAGAATGTGATTTAATAGGTTTGAGGTGGTTAAATTTGAGAAAAGAAGCAAGTCTGTGAGCTGAAGGAGTGACACTAACTTTATATTTGCCCTTTCACTTTCTTCAGGTGTTTGATGATCAATACAGAATGCAAAGTCAGCCTTTAGGAGTGTGTCTGATCATAGACTGTATTGGCAATGACTCAGGTAAGTCTCTGGAAATGGAAATTCCTTTCTTTGTTAATTTCAGATAATTAGAATAACTTAATACAAAGAGTATGATGTAAATCTGCCAGCCAAACTGGGGTCATGTTGTCTTAGTCAGCTAGTCTATCATTTATAGTGAGTCTTTTAAAGCAGAGAGTTGAAAGACCCAACCTGAAATTAAAACCAACTGTCTTAACTATTGCAAAAGATGTTTACTTTTTAGGTTCAGAGTCTCTGAATAAAAGAATTTATAAGGGGATGGACTGATGGTTAGGGAAGAGGGAAAAATAGTGTTCGGAGAGACCAACAAAGTAGTTCAACTACAGTCATACAGCAGGTTATTGGAAGGTATGGTAAACAAGATGTTTTCCACCATTAAAAAAAAAAAAAACAGTTGCAGACTTGAAGTGTAATCATATTGGTTACCACAGATTTTGTGTAGCTGAAGGTACACGAGCATAATCTTAAAAGCAGTTAGGCCTCTATTGTATCTTGCACAGTTTAATTGAAACTGTCATTACAGCTTTAGAGGGGAAGGAAATGGTTTTGTTTCTTTGCTCTTGGCTTAGTTAACAATTGCATGTAGAATTCAAGGTAGTCGGTGCTGTGGTTAGAGTTTGAATTTTTCTGATTGCCTTTGTGGAATCCAAAGCATCGGGTTCTTGCGTAAGCAGAAACCTCTTTAGTCAGTGGAGCACATAAGGCTAAAAATAAAAATGGAGAGAATGAGAATGCTTGCAGTCAGTTTTATGATAGGCTAGGACACATGTAGGGGAAGAGGGTTTGTGGGCATGTCTTTTTTTTATTTCTTGTAACTAATGGCCCAGACAGACCAACTTACAGTTCTTGCTGCAGTAAGTTGGAGAACAGTAGATGCTCAGTAGAGCACAGAGATAGCAAGGAAATTTTTGCCATAGAATACTAATTGCTACTAAACATAAAGATGAACACAGAGTGTGTAAAAATAAAAATTCAGTAATGTGCTCTTTACGTGCTCATATGGGCTATTCAGTATTTGCAGAAGAACAGGAAGTATAAGTGCGATGGAGGAAGATTCTGTTGACTGGAAAGGACAAAAATGGGTTAAATATTCAGCATCTGGCATGTCAGATGTGCATGCAAATTTTGGCCCTGCTACTGGTATGCTCACTTGTACCTGAAGCAAGTCTTAGTGTGTCTCAGTCGCTATGCATGTCTGCATTGCATGAAGAACCAATTACAGCATGCATGTGCCTCAGTTTTTTAATGTTACCAATGCAACATCAGCGTTTTAACCTTCTGAAGGAAAGCTGGACTTTCACTGAAATACATTACTGTTCTAGTGAGGCTGAAGAAGTATATCATATTATTTAAAGGAATTTTTAGAAAGGCATTGACTGTTTTAGAGTCATGCCACACTACTTCTGAGGCCTGAAAATAACAAAGATAAAAAACAGAGTAGGGAGAATATGTTAGGAGTCATATGTACAACGTGCAAATGAGTAATCTGTAATCTGCACTGAGTCTGTAGCTGTGCCAAGATTTATCTGAGGAAGCTGAACCAACGTTAGATGATGTAGGATCAAGAAGTGCAACAGTTGAAAATGATGTCCAGTACACACAGTGCAAATTCATCAAATGCTGATAAAGTTCAAACTGAAACACCCCTTACTGTTTTGCAAAAATCAGTTATTGACTGCTCTTGACTTTATCATTTCCATTTGGAAGCTGGTTTTTATCCTTGTGTTGCAAGTCTGTCTAAACAATCAAAGGGAGAGAAGGGTAATTTTTAGGTAAAGCTTATAAGTCTGTGATGATTTGTTGGGGGATAATTGCTGTTGAAGAAACAGATGTTTTCTGGTCTCAGGGTGCTGCATATTGTGCTTTATTTTGTTGCATCTTAACGTAAACTGCTGTGTCCAAAATTTACAGTGTATAACTTCTGATTCATTGCTAAACAAAGATGTCACCTCTATGAGTTTGTTTGGGTTTATTTCTTTAACTGTGACATTTATAATGTGTAATGGTTGTAAATTGATACAGAGGTTTGTATCTTCCTGTACGTAATGTATGCACCAGTGATGTAAGTAACAGAATAAGCACTCTTGTTTCTGTAATTCTCACTTTATGTACGCACGACTGCCCTCTAATGGATGAAGTGCCTCAGCCAGTATGTAACTGCTAAATGGTACTAATACTAAGTCACTCATGTCTTGGTACCAGCTCCTGTCTTCTGCCTGAATTTTGAAGACATATTGTCCTAAATAGAGGAGATTTTCCTGTATAATTACAAACCAAAATATGTCTACAAAGACTTTTGAATTATTTTACAGAATTTAATCAGTCTAGCAAAACAGGAAGAAAAATCTATAGTCCCTGTTTACCATCTTGCTATAGTGGTAGAGTTGGTAGAATTGCTGTCGGTCCTGTCTTTTAGCTGAGGAAGTTTGAGTTCTGTTCTCCGTTTTCACTGTTTGTGTTTCTTGAGGAGAACACCGTAGTAGTAGAGCTCTTGTTTTGCTGCCAGTTACCTCTAAAGTAGCTCAGCCCTTTGCCTCTGCTAATTAGGAATTGCTAAACTTCTGGAGTCGAGGAGCAGTCTTGCTTCCTGTGTCTATATGGCACTCATTTTCTCCTGTCATTATATTAGAAACTGTGTATGGGTGCGTGCCCCCTCTCCCTCTCCCTCTCCCTCTCCCTCTCCCTCTCCCTCTATGTATGTATATATGTGTGCGTGTATATATGTGTGCGTGTATATATGTGTGCGTGTATATATGTGTTTTATAATAAAGATATGATGCAGCTGCTATAAGTCATAGTGGTAGCCTGTGGTTCACAGAACACTTAAACAATACCTGTGGTTTTAACCACCATGAATTTGGTTTCACTCCCATATTAATAAACATTCAAAGTAGTTACTCAGAGCATAACACGCTTTCCTGCAATACAGGTTAACACAAATACAACTGTGTTAAATTTTGATTTTAGCTATCTACAATTTTAATTTCTAATGCATTTGAAATGGCTCATCAACAGCATTTAGCTTTTCATGGCTAATTCTGTCACCAGGCTTGTCACAGCCCAAACTCCAGTGTCCCTTCTCCATCTAGAACTCTTCATTCACTTAAAGTCCATTTTATACGATAGCAAGTGTGAATGACTGCTGCAGATTCCTTTTTGACTGATGAAAGGCAGCATCTGCTTTTCCTATCCATGTCTGTATATCTGCAATAATAAGCATTCAGAGTAATTTAGACAAGTTAAAGGTGAAACAGACTTCCCATACTACCCAGGTCACTCTTTGCCATTACAAGCCTGTTCCCTGTGAAGCCTTTTTTATCGTCTTTTCTTGCCTGATATTTTAAGTCTTAAGAACAGTTCTTTAGGATGCTGGCTCTAAACCAAAGTGTGCAAAAATTGGTGGAATTAGAAACAGATTATGTGCCACATGTTAGTGTCATGAAGTTGTCATGAAGTACGTAACTCCTATTAAAGAGAACATGCATATAGCACGTAAATATATAATGTACTATGTGATTAACATCAAGACTCCTGATTTTTCAATTATTGTGATGAAATGAACATCTTATTTCCAATAGTGAACTACTGTAAATATTGTAATCCTTTAGGATAGCTGAGACTGAGCGTTGCTGTGCCTTGATTTAATTGTCTTGCTTTTTTCCAGATATGTTGGAAGAGACCTTCGGAGACTTAGGCTATGATGTTCATTGTTACAGGTATTTAAATATGGATACCATGAATCAAACCTTGCATGAAATTGCAAGGTTACAGAAGCACAGAAATTGCGACAGTTTCATCTGTGTGTTGGTCAGCCGGGGAAGCCCTCAGAGCATATTCTGTACAGACCAGACCTTTTCTGGATTCCCTTTGGAGCAAATAAAGAAATACTTTACTGCAGACTCATGTCCTGAACTCCTAGGAAAACCAAAGCTCTTCTTCATTCAGAGCTACATTGTGCCAGAAAGTGAGCAAGAATGTACTAGTCTGTTGGAAGTAGATGGGAATGATGAGAAGATCATTGCTAATGCAAAAATCCCATGGAAAGTCACTATCCCCCAAGTAGCAGACATCTTTTGGAGTCAGTGCAAGGTGGATGTGTCTATACTAGAAAGCTCTCCAAGTCCATCCTCGTATTATCTACGTTGTCTGGCTGAGCTACTCCGCGATCCCCATAAAAGGTAAATAAAAGAGGAAAAAGAACCCTTTTTCTAAGACAGCCTACTGTCCTGGAGAGAGAGCTGTGTTAAGATTCATCCCTTCTGGTCCTGAGAAGTGTCTTCACGCTGTGTCATAGGATTAAAGACAAATGTACCTCATTCTGGAACGATGGCAGAGGAAGGTACCCTAGAGTAGGAGTGAAGCTTCTCATTCTGGATGGTAAAATGAAAGTGCGTTATGGGACTGGGGCTTGCAGAGTATGAGGAGAAGGCCTTGACCTGGGTGAGGTTTGTCAGTGCTCTAGAATTCAGTGCTTTAGGCAAGCATTGAAGTCTTTCTTCTCCAAAATGCAAGGTGTACACGAGGCAGTTGTCAAATTGAGGATTGCCTCTTAAGCCATTAAGAAGGGCTCTGCTTGCAAATACAAAAAGCCAGGGCCTGAACTGGGCGAAAAAGACAGTTGAGAGGGAGGAATTTTTTATTTTCTTGCGATCTAATTCACCCTCCCTTCAGGATCCACGAGATTGTCAATTTATAATCTTGAGTTGAAACTATCAAAAGAGACTAGTCTGTCTAAAGATATTATCAAAAGAGATTTGAGTAAAAATCAGATGTACTTGCATATATAACTTTAATGGCAAAGCTTTTCATTGTACGCTTGGTCTACCAGGCAGCTGGCAGCTGTTTTCCAAGGTAACTGTAGGTCAGCAGTTAGCACAAATCCTAAAACCTCATGACCAAATCACAGGTCACCAGGAAAAGAGAGCATAACAAATAGCATGATAGTGATTTGGGATATAACATATACTCTCCAAAATGCATTTTCAGCCTTGGGTTTTAAAGATGGCAACCTCTACTAAAGACTGAAACTTGAAACTTTCTTCTTGCTGAGTTTGAAGTTGTCTTTCATCCTTTGGGTTCTTAAATGTGTTCTGCTTCGTTCTTTAAAGAAAAGTTTGTATTTCTCTTGCTGCAGGAAACTCTCTGTGTTAGACATCCATACAGAACTGAACAGAGAAGTCTATGAGTGGAACAAGACCATTGACCCAAGCCGGCAATACTCACTTCTGCTCCAGCACACATTGAGGAAAAAACTTTTTTTTTCTCCTACTTAACCGCTGTTGGAAAGTACATGTCTGAAATAGCTAAAAGAAATACTTGCTAAGGTCCAGACACACCTTCATGCAGTTTCACTTTAAGCACTGTTATTACCTGCGTACCTCAAGTGCCTGTTGCTTCTCAACCTGGGGATTTAGAAGTGTTAAGGCACTAGATTTGGTATTTTAATACAAAAGTCTCAGAAAACTTGGATAAGAATGGCAGCTATTGTATAAAACTGCAACAGATCTTGCAACCAAATGCAACAGGTAAACAGTGTGGAAAGAGCTCTAAACTATAGCTGTTGGGTTTTTCAGAGTTCTGTGTTTTTGTTGCTTGTTTTTTAGCATACCTGTTAGCAGTGCACTGATCTCGGCTCTTCTTCTGATGTTTAAAGTGAAGACAAATCTGTGCAAACCACTGATATTCACTCAATACCTTTCCCGGCACCTAATAATGGAGAACTTGTCAGGAGAGAATGCCTTCCCAGCAGCTCTAGTTCTCCTGTAGCAATGGTCTGGCTTGCATGCCTGCATAGACTGTAGCAAAACAAAATGAAGAGAAAAATGGTCTTTAAAATAATTTGAATTCCATCTGCCTGCTGCATTAGAGGTTGTGATTCATCCAGAACCCCCTGTGTCCTCAGTGCTCTCCACAGGACCTAAGGGTTTGCGTGGTTCTAAATCGGGCAGTCTGCCATGTCTTGGACTAATTTTGCTTTCTGCTGGTACAAGAGAGTCTTCATACGGCAGGGCCTTACAGTAATAAAGTTGCACAGTTTAAAAATGTGGTGTTTGGCAGATGTTCTGTGAAAGCTGAAACGTGATTCATACTTGCCACATCAAACAGAGCTATAAAAATACGCTGTTTATCACATTTGAACCTGAATGTCTTTTAGCAACCACTGGCTCTTAAGGCAGGATTACATTCCCCTTCCCTCCCTCCTTTTGCTTATGGAAAAGGGTGTGTCTTCAATTAACTTGTTTTCAGTTGCCTTTGTTCTTCTGGAGAAGACATGAGAGAAAATTGCCTAAAATGTAGCAGTATTTTTTTCAATAAGGCAGATGCCTACCATCAACATTCAGACCTGATTGCTATATAACACTACAACCTGGATGAGTTGTATTGAGATTTACTATTGCTGAATTTACGGCATTCTCCTTCCTAAAATAAGCCACTTGCAAACTTTCAGTATTCTTAATAATTAAGTCTTCTATCTGGGAAGGGACTTCAAGACCTTGGCTTACCTTGCTTGGTTTCTGGTGTAGTTATGCCATGCATCCTTGTGGTGCATATGTATGTCATGCAAGCAAAAAGAAAAGTTTTGTTTGGTGGTGGTGTTTTTTTTGCTAATACAGTGTATGCTAGTTCCTTGAACAAAAAAAAAAAAAAACTGCAGAAGACTTTTTACTAGTATAGCTGTATTTGATTTGAATAAAAATCACATGTGGTAATCTATATGATTTTGCCAACAATGCTTTTCATTGTCAGCTGGGTCTCGCAGGCAGCTAGTAGTAGTATATTGCTACTAATCATGATGGCATGGCCAATACATTTATTTTGGTAGCAATGACTTTTTTTCCTCAATACCCTGTTGTATTTCCTAGGTGTTAGCTTGACATTATTTTTAATAACCTTTTTTTTGGAAACTACAGTTCTTAAGTTTCATCAGAAAAAACAAGTAACTTTCATAATTGAAACTGATATTCACAATTATTTGGCAAAGAGTAGATATCTATATCTGATAAGCACTCAGGAGTCCTTCCTTGTTATATGGTGCAAGTCCACTCTCTTCCTGACCTAAGAGGTTCCTAAACTGCTGATTGATTGAGGACTGTTAGAGTCTATCAAGAGAAGAAACCCGCTTAACGAGTATTACCTTATATTCTTTTCTTAAGCATCCATAAACAATTGTAAGATCAAAAACATATTTATTTATATTAATATATAATTTTGTATAATACATATACCGAGCCTTTTATATCATTACACTTTAAAAATATTCAAAAAAATCTTCACTCTTGTTATGTCTTTTTTTATTTTGTGTTCAGTTTTATTTGCATGTTAGATATGGAATACATAGTGAAATATGTATTTGTGATAAGAAATTTTTGCACAAGTTAGAAAAATACTTCCCCTATATTATAAGCCTGTGTATAATGTTTTTTTTCTCTCTCTATCCACTTCATAAGCTGGTATATCTTTTTAATAAAAGTATATAGAATTGGGAAAAGCATATAGAATTGGGAAATGTAACCCAAAATTTTATGTAGATCATGGGTACATTAAATCATCAGTACCTGTGTTATTTATGTTGGTGTAATTTTATGTAGGCAAAGGTAATAAGAGGAGAAAATGGTATAAAATCAACTTTTGCAAAATCTAGACATTCTCTAAAAGCTTGTTCCTCTACAAGTGTTAAATTAAAAATACTAAATCCCATTTCATGATGTTACAGGTCTAGAAACAAAGATATCATAGTGGTGGTGTGGGGGAGCTCAGTTCTTCCTCCAGTTGCCTACTTTGTAAGAAAGGGCCTTTTAAATTGGTTCTTTTTATAAACTAGTACCATATTGCTTCCGGCTTTAAAAATATTTTGTATCTTAAATTTGAGTTTGTAAGTACTCCACAGACTCAACTAGAGAACTTGTTGCTTTGCAACACCAGAAAGGTCTGTATCATATGTCATGGATAATAAAAACGGCATTCATTTCTGACCTCTGTTTTTTTCATAAACTGCCCAGCTTGGAATAAAATGCAGCAAGTGTAATTTTGAAACTTTACCTTGCTCATATTCCGTGGGGTGAGAGGAGTATTATAAAACGATGGATTTGGAATCTGAGAAGTTAGTTCCTGTAGTAGCTGGTAAATGAAGCAGATGGTATAAAACAAATACACGCTGTTCTGTGGCTATAGAAATAAGGTGTGTTTCCTAGTTATTGTACAGACGTATGTGATAATAAATATGATTTCACTTCACAAATTAAATTAACTTTTTTCTCCCGTTTCCCTTATTAGCCGTTACGTATGATGAGCACTTCACTGCTTCATAGACACCAAAAGCAGGGAGAATGGAACCAAGAGGAGGCAGAGAGATGAGGGAAAGAAATACTCAAAGTTCAAGCAGGAACGAGAAGGGGAACGATAGGGAGAACCAAGAGAAGAAAAAGTAGGGAAAAGAAGATTTGGAGGAGAAATACAACATCAAAATTGGAAGGAGAAAGAAGAAGACAGGAGAAAAGGGAGGAAGGAAGTAAGAATAATAGTGGATATCCTTACAGGATCCAACTTTTTTTTGAGTGATGCAAAATATAACTATTTACTAAACTATCAGTGATAGGATGTATTCTGTTTCTGATAGTTTTATGACAGCATAAGTTGGAGAGGAGGGTTCAAGAAGCATACATATTCTTCACTTTAGTTTATGGCACTGTCAGTAAAGTCTGTGTCCTATTCCTTAAGAAATGAAGAGGAAACACTTTGAAAAAAAAAAATTGAGGAGATTATTCTACATAATCCTAGCAGTAAAAAGGAAAGGAGTCTCTGTGTCTGGCTGCTTAGATGCAACAGTGACTGCAGTCCTCTGATGTCCTAAGATTTGTGGGGACATTCCACGCATCTTGCAGCGTTCATGGACGCCAGACACTGAGTTTCTACACTGATGTCTTGGTGCTCAGGAGATTCTTGGCCCAGAGCAGTACTTAGTCTGTAATCATGTAAGTACCAAGCAGTATTAATTGCCTGGATGCCGCCTTCAAGAGTGGCTTATGGGATAGACTCATTCCCTGGACGAAGTGCGTTGTGAAAACCAATGTTGATGAAGTTGGTATTTGCTAACATGCAGGAATTTTGTGATGCCAGAAGTTGTCTGTCACTTCCCCCATAACTTTCTGTGCTCCTGGGTATGTTTGATTGGGATCGTCTGGTTTTGCTTTACTGTGGGCCTGAAATTTGAGCCTGGAAGCTGACTGCATGTAAGGTCTGGATGGCATCAAGCTGTACATGCATTACAGATCAGTTTGTTACTGGTGCAGTGGTTGAATATCAAACTCCCATTCAGTAGCCAAAAGAAAAGGGGGGGGAAAAAAACCCTCCATGATGGATCCAGAATTAAGCCTAAGATGTTAGCACTGGAACATAACAAGCAAAAAAGATAGTGGTGGATTTTCATGGTCGTGGTCTGCCAAAACGTATAGCTTTCTGAACCCGCTGTTGAACAAGAGAAGGAAAGCCACTCTTTTCTGCCCCTGGCTTGTGAGCGCATGGAACGTCCGACTCTGTGGCACAGAACTTCAGTTGCCAGTAACTGTAATAGACATTTCTTGCATTTCTGTTTGCGTCATATATATGGAAGAAGGAAAGGAGAAATGGCAGAATATAGATGGTGCTTTACCACTGGCTCAGAAAAAGCACCTGTGAGGCAGGAGATTGTGGTGTTTGCCAACTTGTGATTCAGGAAAGAAGTTAAATTCAAGAGGATGTTATGGTGCTCACGCTTGCAGGTGCAGCATACTGTGTGTCTGATGCATACACCCTTTCAGCTCTTTAAGAAGTAACAGTGACTGTTACAGATACCTGAATCAGTACCAGCTTTACATGACAGTTTATAAGAATTCTTTTCTGATATGTACAGCTTTAAATTTCTGACGTGCCAGATGCTATTGCTCTGAAAAAGTTGCTGTCTGTGGATGATGTTCTGTAGTCTTGTCTGCTTGCTGTACTTGTGGTTATATTCCTTTTAAACTTTTATTTCCTCTATGGAATTATTGGATAGCTTCTCTCTGTGGCTATATCAAAAAAATCTTTCTTCATCTCCTTTGTTAGAGGGTCAATAAGAGAGTGCCAGTCTTCCAGGAATTTTGTTTTTGTGAATTGTCTCTTTCTGTACATACTCTAGTTTGAAATATGTATTACTCTGACATCATATTTTGTATGTTTAATTTGTAGAAACATAGCATCATAGGAAACATGATTTGAATCAGTGCCATTACTGAAATAGAATCATAGTTAAGCAAAACTGCTTAGTCCTGTTGCTCCTAAATCATAAATGTTGGGGTTTCACCTTATTTTGCAAAGAAAAGCGCCTGCAGTCAGGCTGATTGTCTACATCTCCCTGCCAATCTCAGAGTAACCCTTTACCTTGTTGGCCCATTTATCCTGTAGACATCAGGTGCTTGTTAAATTTGGCTATTGAGTTTCTACAGCTTTGTTTTAAACAAAAACCAAAAACCCAACACCTGACTGAATAAAGGACAGCGAAGCCTTTTAGTTTCAGCAGAGAAGTCTGCTGTTGCATGTGTTGGACAGCTGCTGTTTGGCGGGAGCAAGGAGACTCATCACATCCCGCTGCCCTGAGCTGGAGGGTCGGGGGAGATGATGCTGGTGTTGCTGAAAGCAGCGAGGACCCTGCGCTGTCTTCCCCCCCCCCCCTTACTGCAGCGGGGGTGCTGAGCGGGAGATCTTGCATAAAAACTGTACTTGCAGGCAGTAGCTTCAAGGCTTCTTGTCAGGTGAAGAAACCTCCCCAAAATGTTTGGGTCTCTTTTTGCCGTGTAGCTAGCTTTAGACATGGCTTAAAACCGAGAGAGAAAACAGTTTCTTCCTGCGCTGCTTTTGCTTTGCCGGTTGCTTTTCCCGACTGTGCAGCGGAGCCCCCTGGCGCGGGGGG